ATTAAGTGAGATAATGTATACAGAGTGCTTATGCCGTAGTGACAATTGGCTACAGTTGTTATTTTTTATTATTTAAACTTTTTTCATTTCTAACCTTTGGGTGAGAACTCAGAAGTGGCCCTGGGCCAGGAGGTTCTGCCACAGGGCACATAGCTCCATTTTACCAAGATGACACTTCCACCTACAAAGCGGCCCATAGCCTGGGCTGCAGTGCCCAGTGGTGAAGGGGATGTGGACACACGGTGGGTGGCCTCACCACAGAGGCCAGAGGCTGGGTAGGACCCAAGCCTGCCCTGTGCAGCGGCTGTCACGTGGAGCAGTCATTGGTGGGGAGGAAAGCCCGTGTACAATGGAAACTCCTCACAACACAATGTGGAAAAGCAATTTTAAGAGTCGTTTTTACTTTAATTTTGGAGCCAAGGAAAACAGTTGGATTTGCTTTTCTTTGTTGGTCAAAGGAAGAAACTGAGGAGCAGGGCTTTGATTGGAGCTGAGCTCTTCTCCAGGCCTAAGACGATTGGAATGTTGGGGATTTCTCTTGGGATGCAATTAGTTGAATAAATATCAAGAGAGCAAGAGTAAACACACTCATTACTGTCCCTTCAGAACTGCCAAACTAGCAAAAGTCTAGGGGGTTGAAATCTTTAAGGAGAATAAATGCCTCGGAGGCCAAAGGCTGCACTGGGAGCATAGCCCTTGGTAGGAGGTCTCCTGGTGTTCCAGCAGGGTCAGTTCAGGTTCTTACCTGCGTGTGTTCTTGGGCAAGTCATTGGGCCTAATCTGGGTTTCAGTGCCTCCACTGGTCAAATGGGGGAATGACAAACCTTCTGTGTCACCCGGGACAACACATGTCAGGTCCCCGGCACTCCTTCTCTTCCTTTCTCCCTGCAAGTCAGTAGGCTCCAATCACTCAAAGCTCAGGTCCTATAGAGATGGAAGAGCGATACCCACAATGATCACGCAGCTTCAAGACTGGCCCCAGCACTAGCAATGGGCCTTTGAGCCAGTTACCTGACACTTTTCTGAGCTTCAGTTTCCCCATCCTCAGAACGTGCACAACCCTAATAACTAGTCCGGAATGTTGGAGTAAGGAAATGAGCTGCTGTGTCCACAAAGGGCCTCGAGAACCTGTAACCCTGCACAAGTTTAGTTTACTTTTTAATCTAATAATAATAAAGAAATGGTCTTTCCAGACATTGTAGTCTATGATCACACATGTCTCTGGCCTTGCCACCATGAGGCAGCTCTAGGAGGGTGCTAGGGCTCACCAGCAGGCTGCTTCTGAGCTGGGAGGCTCTGTAACCTATGTCAAGATTCCCTTTGTGAGATGGGGTCGCAGTAGTACCTGCTCATAGGGCAACTGTAAGGATTCAAGGAGGTGGCAAAAGTATCCAGCCTACTGTCCTCAGCGTTCCTTACCGTTAGTTTGTACTGTTACCATTGTTTAGGTCTTGTTATCATGTGGCTACCATGTTATTCCAATCTCTAGTTTCTGAAATCTTCCATGTTGCTTACCTACATGAATTACCCCATTCCACAGAGGAGCCTCAGCCTTCAGGATCTCAGGGTCTAGGGGAAGAGTTCTCCTGGGAAATTCTGAGAACCCATGCTTGTGAAGGACTAGAACTCCATGATAAACAGTGCATCCTCTAGGGTCTGGAAGCCTGGGAAGGTCTGGAAATCAACCCTTTTTCTGGAGCCAGTTGCCTCTCTGGGCCTCTGGCAATGTCTTGGGCAATGGCAAAGGCCAGGCCCTAATGGTACGGAGGTGTTTGTTACCAGCCACAGCAGGTGAAGAGTCTAGGGAAGGCACAAGCAGGCCCGCCCTAGCCTGAAGCGCGGCTCCTCCCCATTGTTGTTCTGGGGCAGGCGTGGCCACCCGCGCTAAAGCAGCCAAAGTGCTTTGGAAACCAGGCAAACACTCCCAAACGCTGCCTGGTTTCCACTGACGTCACTGCAGCCCTACCTCCCAGCAGGGCCCCAAACCCAAGCCAGAGGCTCTCAGATACCTCTCTGCCTACCCGAAAGACCTGAGCTGCCCAGTGGAAGCACACTTGGGTGTTGGTGTTCAATGAAAACAGCTCACTCAGCACAGCCCTGTGAAGCCCAGGGTCCACTCTATCTGCACATTGGCTAGCACCAGGTGGAGACCAGGGGCTCCTTGGGGAAGCCCCCCAGCAGTTCAGGGAGGGTGAACCTTTCAGTCCTGTGCCATGGTTAATGTTTTAGCGCAGACGAATGTGAAACCAGAAAATGATCAAGTTAAAGCTCCCCCACTTTTTTAGAATACTAAACCAGATTAAGCTCACTTTTGTGCAGCCAGTTATAAAAGTTTAAAGGTCTGTGTCCCTCAGACCAGGGTCGGATTGTGCCACCTTTTAGATTTATCACTGTGGACAAGTCATTTAGTCTGAGTCTCAGTTTCCTCCTTTGTAAAACGGAAATAACAACAGCATCTACCATCAGAAGGCGTCATTTGACTATAGGAAAGCAGCACAATGGATGTTACGGATTTCCTAGTGAATCCACTCCAAAGCCCTCCTTGACACAGCTCTGCCCTACCGGGAGTCCTTGTTGTGGGCTCCCCAGTTCCTCAGTTCCCCTTTCTCAGCACTCCCCAGTGCATCTTAACTGCTGGGGGCTGTGTACTCCATTCCGTCAATAGACATGCTAAGCACTGCACAGGGAGCAGAGTTCCCCACTGCCCTCAGGCAGCACGCCTTGGGACAAAGAGATGGCATGCATCTGATGGTGACAGGGACTCCGAAGGAAAAGGCAGAGAGGTCACAGTCTCATCTAAACATGGAGGGCCTCACTGAGAAGGTGAAGGTAAAGAGACCCGGAAGAGGCCGGGGTGTGAGCAGTGGCGAGAGGGGCAGAGCATTCTGCACAGAGAACAGCAAGAACAAAGGCCCTGAGCTGTAGGTGTGCTCGGTGAGCTTGAGGAACAGCCAGAGGCCAGTGTGTGGAGATGGTCTCTGAGGAGGGAGGGCAGGGGTCAGGAGATTCAAGAGGGAGCAGAGGTAGGTCAGGGAGGCCTGAGACAGTCATTAACTTTTACTCCAAAATGCAGAGCCAAAAAACCCCCACAAAAACCAAAAACCAAAATGGAGAGCCACTGCTGGGGTTTTGAGGAGAAGAGCAATCCAATCTGACTTTGGTAAAAGATCCCTCTGGCTGCTGACTCAAGGACAAACTGGAGGGTAGGGAGGCGCAGGGGCAGGAGACCAGTTAGGAACCACTGCACCAGTCCAGGTGAAAGGTAAAGATAGGCTGCGCTGGGTTGACGGTGGCAGAGCATTCTGGGAACGTTTCTAGGATGTCATAACTTGGTGAATTAGATGTTGGGTACGAAAGACATTTCAGAAATGAGTTGAGGACCACTTCACAGTGTTTGACTTGAGTAACTAGAACAGAGTTGGCATTTCCTCACACAGGATAAACTAGGAGAAGCAGGTGTGGAGGACGGAGGTATAGTGAAAAATAGGGTAAGTGGAGCCTGAGATGCCCAGCAGACAGTGAGGTAGATGTATAAAAGAAACACTGGGTACATGAATGTGGAGTCAAGCAGACAGCCTGTGGGTATGACCCATGCTTGAAGTTAACCAAAGCCTGCAGGAGATCTAGAAGGTCAACAAGACTTGAGACATGAAGACAAGAGCATGAGGGTGAACCAGCTGAGGAGGCCGAGCAGGAGCAGCCAGGGATAGGAGGCAGCCATTTAATGTTGGCCACCACTGACCTGGCTGCAGTGTCTGGAGTGGCTAGGGGCTGGGGATGACGGGGTAGGTTCACCAGGGAATAGTGAGAGAGGAGCTTCCTGGAACCCTGAGTGTAGGCAACTCTTTGGAGGAGTTTGCCAAAAGGAGGAGCAGAAAAATGGGACAGAGCAGGGCTGTGAGGTCAAGAGACTTCTGGAACATTTTAAGAAACAGCAGCAGGGGTGTAAGGAGCCTGAAATGATGCTGGGGAGCCAGGGGACTGCGGGAGTCAAGGGACCAGAGGAGGGAACAGTGCACATTCCCCCACCCTACCTCCTTTTCATCCCACGAGGGTCAGTGTAAAGGTCACTTTCTCAAGGAAGCGGTCCTGACCCCTCCCACTAGGTCAGTTCCCTAGGATTCCCTCCCAACAGCACATGGCACTTTTGGTTCCCAGCACTTGGGGACCCTGTGATGCTGCGGAAGCCCTGTGAGGGCAGGGGCTGGCTCAGTCTCGTTTGCAGTTATGTCCCCAGCAGCTATCACACTGCCCTCCACACTATAATGTTCGATGCACAGCTGGGGAAGGGATGAATGGCCCAGGAATAGTACTGAAACATGTCTGGAGACACGTGCCTGCCTTCTGCTCCAGTCTGATTTAATCACGTTGCAGTGACTGGACTGTGTGGTCACTGGCTGTTGCAAATGTTTGGATTTAGAAGAGCTTGGTTGTTTGTTCCTGTTTGGGGCTCTGTACTTTGGCTAACACAGACTAGAGCCATGTGACCGGACACATTCTTCTATTGACATTGTCCACTACACACTGAACACATTCCATACTGTGTCTAGCAATTCATTAGTTGAACAAACATTTGCTGGAAGCCTGCTCCAAGCCATGTTCTGGAGATGTAAGATTAAATCAGCCCCAGGACCCGCCCCCACAAAGCTTAAGTGCAGCAAAGGAGAACCTACAGCAGGTGCTACACAGGGATAGTCAGGTGTCAGAGTGTGGAATGAGTAGATGCAAAGGTTTCAGGCTTTGGGAGTGGCAGAGCCACAGCTCTGACCTCAAGACTCCCAGGCCCTCCCTTCTTTCTCTTCTGGTGCCTGCTATCTCCTTCTGAGGCTTCCAAAACAGCTGCTCTCTCAACCACCCCCCCACAACTCCAGGAGAACAGAATGTATCCTCCCAAAGCGGCATTAGGGGAACACTCTGCCTGACAAGAAGGATGGGATCATGATGGCACAGGCCACAGGCAGGGATGACCTTCACTGATTCTCCCCTCTGTCTACTTTCAGGCTTTCCTAGATTCCATCTACAAAGAGTAACTACCACATTGCAAGGACCATGCGGCCGCTATGCATGACGTGCTGGTGGCTGGGACTGCTGGCCACGCTGGGAGCTGCTGCAGGCTCAGAGGATGGCTTTGAGGGCACTGAGGAGGGCTCACAGAGTGAGTTTATTTACCTCAACAGATATAAGCGAGCAGGTGAGTCCCAGGACAAGTGTACTTACACCTTCATCGTACCCCAGCAGCGGGTTACCGGCGCCATCTGCGTCAACTCCAAGGAGCCTGAGGTGCTCCTGGAGAACCGTGTGCATAAGCAGGAGCTGGAGCTGCTCAACAATGAGCTGCTCAAGCAGAAGAGGCAGATTGAAACGCTGCAGCAGCTGGTAGAGGTGGATGGTGGCATTGTGAGCGAAGTAAAGCTGCTGCGCAAGGAGAGCCGCAACATGAACTCGCGTGTTACACAGCTCTACATGCAGCTCCTGCACGAGATCATCCGCAAGCGGGACAACGCACTGGAGCTCTCCCAACTAGAGAACAGGATCCTGAACCAGACGGCTGACATGCTGCAGCTGGCCAGCAAGTACAAGGACTTGGAGCACAAGTACCAACACCTGGCCACATTGGCCCATAATCAGTCAGAGGTCATCGCACAGCTTGAGGAGCACTGCCAGAGAGTTCCCGCTGCCAGGCCCATGCCCCAGCCGCCCCCTGTCACCCCACCCCGGGTTTACCAGCCACCCACCTACAACCGTATCATCAACCAGATCTCCACCAATGAGATCCAGAGTGACCAGAACCTGAAGGTGCTGCCACCACCACTGCCCACCATGCCTGCCCTCACCAGCCTCCCATCCTCCACAGACAAGCCGTCAGGTAAGTCCTTCCCGGATCCCATCCCATGTGGGCCTCTGAGCTGGGCACCAGGTCTCCCTTGGCTATGGCCACAAGTGGGGGAACAGTATTGCCAACTGAGGCCAGGCTAGGGGCTCGTGGAGTCCCCTATAATCCCCTGGGCCAGCTGTTGGAGCCAGTGGGGTGACAGCGGGGACTGCATTGCTTAGAAGGATGCTTGAAGGTAGAACCAGGAAGCAGGAGTCTCAGGAGAGGGTCAGTGTTCACTGGCTTCTGAAAGGAAGGAACAGAGGCCCATATTTTTGCAGGCTCTGCAAGAGATGCTCGGTATCGGCTGCTAGGATATCACTCCGGAAGGCTTGTGTACTGTGCCCCAAGCTGGCACTCTGTAAATGTCACCCAACTGGCAGTAGGCCAGGGGAAATAAAGCATTATCACATGAAAAGTATGTTAACATGTAATAGGGACTGAGGGATCAGAAGGGCACTTCAGAAAGACCATGCCTTTTCCACTGCCTAGGATTTTCAATGAGGCTTCCATTAGTCTTACATATATGTTTCATCCTAAAATACAGTAAAACCATGATAGAGGAGGAATGGAGTCATGGCAAGTTGGAAAGCTTGGGTATATTACTTTATTAGCCCCTCAGCTCCCTTGGGATAGGTTAAGCAATGTGCTCCCAGGCTTGGGATCCTCAGGCTGCATGTGAATTCAGACCCTGTCACTTTAAAACTTGAGCTGACTCCTCTGTGCTCAAGGATTCTGGAATCCTTAGTTTTGGGGGGTCAGGCCAGAGGCTCCTCTGCCAGAGGGCCAGCCTAGCCCAGCCCCCGGAGCTCAGCCTTTCACTCATCCAGGAGGCAGCAGCCTTCCAAGTGGGCTGCCATGTGAGAACTGGATTCTCTCTGCCGAAGCTGCCCATGTGTCTGTTCTAAGCGCTATGGGTACCACTTTGCTGGATAAGCAAGGAGATACAGTACTTTTACCAAAAATATCCTGTTTTACACTTCTTTCTCACTTTAAAAAATAACCACTGGTACTGGTAAGAGCAATTTCTTGCTAATTCCAGAGAGGACCTGAACCAGTAGGCAGGACCAGGACTAATGGGTGGCATTTTTCCATGGGGAGGCAGGGGCAGGGTTGGCTACACAGAGGGCAGAGCATCTCGAAGGAAACATGTGGACTAGGTGTGAGGGGTTGAGGGTGGGTTCCTAGAACAGACTGAGCTGGGTTCAGAGCCTGCTTCCTCCACCGATTAGCTCTGGGACAATAGGCAAGTCACTGCCACTCTGGACTTCCGCTTCCTCACCTGAAGCTTCAGGTAGGTTCTATTTTAATCTTCTCCCAACTGACAAGTCTATGAAATGAAAGACTTCAAAAAGCATGCTTAGCAGAGAGCTGGGCTCATGGTAAGCTGTGTCTCCTTTAACCTTGATTTTTTAGTCTAAAAACAAGGACACTGAAATAAACAATCCCTTTTCAGCTGTGACATCCAATGGCTGATTGCTGGTCTGTCTGTACCACACCTGCTGTACTTCAGGGGCCCTGAGGCAGCAGGGTGCGTTGTCTCCACAGAATACCCAGAAGGGAAAACCTGAAGGCCTGGCTGAATGTGGTTATAATCCTGACATGAGTCAGGCGGGTCTCAGTGGTTACCCAGCGATCTCTTCTTGCCTGAACATCTCTGGTTTCTCACTCAACAACTTCAGGACATTCCTAAACTAAACTGAACTAAGCTGGTGGATACAGCATGAAAGACCAAAGACCTGGGTTTGCACCCAGACCCAACCCCATTAGCTGTCTGCTCATGAGAAAGTTATTTAACTCCTCTGAGTCTCAATTTTCTTTCTGGAAAATGGGGACAGAGCTATAATCTCACAAGATTGTCAAGGAAATTCAATCAAGCATGTACTTTTATGACTTTTGGTGTAGCCAACACTGGCGGGGGCCCTGCTTCATTCTGCACAAGGTTAGACTGGGGTTGGGGGTGGTTTGAAAACTATGGTCTCTAATTCCCAAGAACTCAGTCTGGGGAGGCGGCAGGTACATGAATGCACCTGGAATCCATCCAATCTCCATCATTTCTGTCTCTAAAGCTGACACATGAAGTTTGACAAAGGAGTTCTCTAGGAGGCAGTATCTGGCATGGTCCAAATTGCTAAAACACTGAGAACTCATGGGGCCAGCCTAATGGAGTTTCTGAAGTTGGGAATGCAGTGAACACTAGGCAGTCTGGCCACTGTACGCTAAGTCAGTGTGCTAAGCACCCTGCGGAGGAGCACATGAGGGGCTACGGGGCCGCTAATGTGGCATGGCAGAGGGACGGGAAAGGTTGGGACTTCTGTGTTACATCTTGATGGACTTGTGAGAGTTTACCAGGCAGACATGGGAGTTGGGAAACCAAGTTACCAGTAGGTACTTGATGGAGATGGGTCTGGGCAAAGACCTAGGAGCATACACTTGGCATTTCAGGTAGCCCAGATTCCTGCTTCCTCATGGTCCAGTGTGAGCTGCAGGACAGGTAAAGGAGCGTGGGAACTGTGTAAACAAGGCTTCTACCCTCACCAGCCCTTTTAAGAAAGTACATGGCATGGAAAGGAATGATCAAAGTTACATTATGGAAATAACTTTTTTCCTTTAAAGCATTCCCCTCAAATGTTGCTACTTGATCATTAGCAGCAGACTTCTTGTGGCCCATCTCACCTCTAAGCTCTCTCACAAACACAGATAGGGATGTGAGGAAGAGGGTCTTTAGGAAAGTCCTACCCCTTCCTGGAGTTGGACTGAATTGGGAGGAAAAAGCAGATGGCCTCGCTCTACTGAGCATGAGCTCAGCCAATGGCAGAGAGCTCTTATCAGGCCTCTTCTGAGCTGGACGGATTTTGGTTGTGGAAGACAAAACCCTCTCTGTGTTCTCCCAGGAGCCTTTATTCCTGGGACATCACTCAGAAACACCTTTGAAACGAAGCACTTTTGCACCCAGACCTTGGCATCCTCTCAGCCTTTCATTCAGCAACCCCAGAGGCACTGCTCTATTCCTCATTGTTTGAACTCCTCAGCCCACAGCATGCCCTTCCCCAGGGGACTAAGACAGCCAGGCCCCTTATCTGAAGCAGCACTCAGGCACTCACCGCCTAGCCACAGCCAGATAGTGACAGGCTGGCCCCACGCCAGGGGGGCCCACTGAGAGCAGGGATGAGGGGCCCAGACAGCTCCTAGTTTCCCACCTGGGCTCTGACCTGTCTGTATCAGGGCTGGCCAGACTTAAGGCATTTTATTTTGAGTGATGTTTGTGATGAGGCCAGAGCCCTATCCCCATGGGTCCTGGTGTTGCTGTTAAAGAGGACAGCGATAGGGGCCAGGGCCCTGAGAGGCAAAGAAAAGACAGGATAGGCTCTGAGCTCACCCCGGCAGACCTACCCATGCCAGGCACCTATCACAATGCCTGTCCTAGAGACAGAGTGGGAAGAACACATAGTGTGCCACCAGCTGCACAGTGAGGCACTATGTGCAGCAGGCAGTGATTCCCCAGAACAACAGTAAGTTCACAATAGAGGATGAAGTCTATGACCCCGGGGCTTCCATTCTTCCTGGGGGGCAAAGAAGCCTCAATCCAGGGAAAAGATGCTGGTCTTGGGGGCAGATGAACCAGCGCTAGCAGCCTGGGCTCCTGGGCCTGAGCTGGGACAGGTGCAATGCTGAGGGTGAGTGGGGGTGCTTGTGGGTGCCCTGACTCAGATTCCTCCTTCAAGGCTGCAAGGGCTGAGGAGAGAGCCACGTCGGCCTCCTGCCGCTGGAGTGTGCTCTGTTCGCACCGTGCCATGCTTCTTTTTCTGAAATGATTTGCTAAACAAAATAGGATTCCCAAATTCATTGCAAACTACGTAATGCAGTAACATTTTAAAGAGCATTCATTCTGTTAGCTTCTTCCTAAACAAAAGCCACTCAAGGAGAACAGTTCTGGGGGATGGTCTTCCTCCTCGCTCTGCTTTCCTCCTCCTCCCTTGAGTTGGAGAACCAACCACAAAGGGCTTTTGAGTGTGATAGAAAGCTATCCCTCCCTGCCTCAGGCTGTTTTCCAAGGATGACAGTGGGCTAAATGCCCTTTTGCAGCCACAAGAGATTATCAACTTGTTACTGTTAGAAGCCTGGAGATCTGGAATCTCACAGCCTGGAAATCCCAACAGTTGGGCACTTGGCAAACTGGAAGTAATGTAAAAAATCCTGGAGACTGGTCATCTGTGGCCAGCTTGCTTGCCACATAAATGGAACATTGTGACAATTTACTTAGCAGACTCTATCATAACCCTGAAAGGCCACAAAAAGCTTCCTTAAAAAAACAAAGAAAGCAAAATTAAGTTAACACCACACTGCCGAATGTCTAAGATGTCTTGCTGGTTGTTGGGTCTGTCCGAACCCAGTGGCTAGGTCATTACTATAAAAGCAACAAAGTGGGCCAGGGGTATAGCTTAGCAGTACGGTGCCTACCTGGCAAGTGTGAGGTCCTGAGTTTGATTCCCGGTACCGGAAAAAAAAAAAAAAAAAGTAATTGAGCATACCTGCTGCACTTTCTACCTGCATCAGTAAAGGGGGACACTGGAGGGAGTGTCCTATCCCCACATCACTACTGCCTCAGCTTCAGCCTTCCCTTGGCTGAATCTGGATGGAGATTATGTTGAAAATAAGCTGATGGTACATGTCCTGTATCTCAAGATGAGCTGATGGAGCTGTACAACCTGGGCTAATTTTATGGGTTTTTTTAATGCATAAGTGATCCTGCCTTAACAGACTTTTTTGAATACAATAAATTAAAATTACTGTACATACAGAGAAAAATTTTGCTAATAGAATTGTAGTTTAAATGATAAATACAATAGTTTTATTTGAATTTCTAAATGTTGAAATTTCTAAATGTTAAGTATTTTAAGTGGTATTTCTCAGGTAATTTCCAAAAGTACAGAAAGTTCAACCATCTGGTGCTATCTCAAATATCACGTGTAGGATCCCTCTGCAGACGGCCC